GGGGTCCCAGCACACCAGTAAGGGGCACTGGGAGGGCTGGGGTTGCCTCTATCTGTCCCTCTGGGGTCCCAGCGCACCAGTAGGGGGCACTGGGAGGGCTGGGATTGCCTCTATCCATCCCTCTGGGGTCCCAGCACACCAGTAGGGGGCACTGGGAGGGTTGGGATTGCCTCTATCCATCCCTCTGGGGTCCCATCACACCAGTGGGGGGCACTGGGAGGGCTGGGATTGCCTCTGTCCATTTCTCTGGGGTCCCAGCACACCAGTAAGGGGCACTGGGAGGGCTGGGGTTGCCTCTGTCCATCCCTCTGGGGTCCCAGCGCACCAGTAGGGGGCACTGGGGGGCACTGGGAGCACTGGGATTGCCTCTGTCCATTTCTCTGGGGTCCCAGCACACCAGTAAGGGGCATTGGGGAGCACTGGAATCCCCCTACCTACCCCCCGAGGTCCTAAGCACACCACTAAGGAAGGTTGGGGACTACTGGGGAGCACTGGGATTGCCTTTAGCCATCCCTCTGGGGTCCCAATCACACCAGTAAGAAGGGTTGGAGGCTACTGGGGGGCACTGGGAACACTGGGATTGCCCCTATCCAGCCCTTGGGGGTCCCAATCCCACCAGGAAGGGGCCCTGGGATCACTGGGACCCCCCCAACGTCCATCCCCTGGCTCCCAGTCCCCCCAGTAAGCAGCCCTGAGGGCTCCACCCCCCCCAATTGCAGGGCCCCTGGGCAGTGCCCTGAGCACCCGCTTCGGCGCCCGCCCCGTGGCCATGGCTGGGGGGTTCCTCTCGGGCCTGGGGCTCTTCCTGGGGGCCTTCGCCACCCACATGACCCACCTCTACCTCAGCGTGGGGTTGCTGGCGGGTACGGAGCAGGGGCTGCTGGGAAATGGGGTGCCGGGCGGTTGGGTGACCTAGAATGTGGGGGGTCACTGGGTGAGGGATGGGGTGCGAGAGGGGTTGGGTGACCTAGAACGTGGCAGGTCACTGGGTGAGGGATGGGGTGTGAGGGAATGTGGGTCATCTAGAACATCCAGCGGCATTGGGTGGCCTGGAGCTCTCTGGGCCGTTGGGTGACCTAGAACACCCCAAACCATCGGGCAACCTTAGACGGCCCAAGGCTATTGGGTGCCCTAGCCCACCCCGCCCCATTGGCCGGCCGTGCCCACGGGGTGCCCCGCCTCTCCCCACAGGCCTGGGCTGGGCATTGGTCTTCACGCCCTCCCTGGGGACCGTGGGTCGCTACTTCCCGGCACAGCGGGCGCTGGCCACCGGACTGGTGGTGTCGGGCGCCAGCATCTCGGGACTGGCCCTGGGGCCGCTGGTCCCGCTGCTGCTGGACACCTACGGCTGGCGGGGGGCCCTGCTCCTCCTGGCCGCCATCTCCTTCAACCTGGTGGCCGCTGGGGCTCTTCTCCGGCCCCTGCCCGTCCCCGGCGAGACCCCGGGGCCACCGCGGGACCGGCCGGGGCTGATGCGGCTGCTGCGGCAGGGGCCCTTCATCCGCTACGCCTTGGCCTTCGTGTTGGTGGACGCCGGCTACTATGTGCCCTTTGTCCACGGGGAAGCCCGCGCCCACGAGGTGGGGTGTGACGAGCACCACGCCGGGCTGGTGATGGCAGCGATGGCAGCGGTTGACGGGGGAGGCCGGGTTGCTGCTGGCTGGTTGGCTGCCCGGCCGGCCACCCCCCTGCTCCGTCATCTCTTCGCCTGGGCCGTGCTGACGGGGTTGGTGTTGCTGCTCCTGCCCTTGGGGACTTCCTTCGGGGGTCTCCTGGCCTTGGCCTCGGCCTACGGGTTCTGCGCCGGAGCCGTCGTGCCCCTCCAGTTTGCCGGCGTGGCCGAGGTGGTTGGCGCCGGGCGGTTGGTCCATGCCATCGGCCTCATGCAGATGTTCGAGAGCTTTGGGTCTCTGCTGGGGCCACCCTTTGCCGGTATGGAGGTGACCCGCTGTGGTGCCAGGGGGCCAGGAGGGTTGGGTGACCTAGAACCAGTCACAGGGGGCACCCAGGGACCGGTTGGGGGATGTGTTTCCCATCCCCATGGCTGTTTGGGTGGGCAATGGCTTGTGGTGGGGTCAGGTGACCCGGATTCGGTGACATGGGGTGACATAGGGTGACCTCAGCCATGCTGCAGGCTCTCGGTACCCCAAGAGGATTGGGGTTCACTTTGGAACCCAGGCATGCACCCCAACCCACATGCTCCCGCTCCCCCAACCCTTGGGTCCCCCCAACGGGTGTGTGGGCAGGTTCTAGGGGGGTCCTAGGTGGGGTCCCAGGTGCCCCAACCCACACACTCCTTGTTCTACAACCCTTTGCCCCCCCCCCCCAGGTGGGCTCTGGGCTGGTTCTAGGGGGGGCATTTGGGGTTCCAGGTGCCTCAACGCTGCCATATTTTAGGTTGGCTGCGGGACATGACCGGGAACTACACCATCTCTTTCCTTGCTGCCGGTGCCTTCCTCCTGGCCGGGAGCCTCCTCATCCTCACCCTCCCCGGCTTCTTCCACGCTTCCCAGGGTGCCGGCGGCAAAGAGGGGAGTCCTGCCCTGGCCCCCACTGGCCCCGAGACCCCCTGCCGATCCGCTCTAGAACCAGCCATGTAAAACTCTCTGCTCCCCACAAAGCTCAGCCTGGGCTCCTGTCCTTCCTTCAGCACCCAAGGGTGGGTGTGGGGAGGGTGGAGGGTGGGTGTCACCCCCTTCCTGGGGTGGGGATACCCCTTTAAAACACAAGGTGTTCCAGGTGATGCATTGGGGTTGCTTTGGGGTGACCCGGCCAGGAGCCATTTTAGGTGAAAGATTGGTGGGGTGTCAGTTCTAGGTACCCCAACCAGGGCCCGTTGGGGGGGGTGGTTCTAGATGACCCAAGCGGAGTTCATTTTGGATACCACATGGTGGAGGTCAGGTCCAGGTAACCCACCCTGGGCCCATTTGGGGGGCTCGGTTCTAGGTAACCCAAGTGGGGCCCGTTGTAGGTAGAAGATTGGGAGGGCATTTCTAGGTAGCCCAACCAGCCCCATTCTAGGTACCACATCAGATGTTCCCAGCTGGGCACAGAGACGGGACCATGGGAAGGGCAAGACCAAGGCAATGCTTTATTTCATTGGAAGCTGCCTGTAAGGGGGCGGGGCCTGCCCCAGGGGGCATGGCAAGGTCTGGAGGGGGCGGAGCTAGAGGGTGGTGAGCTTGTGGTGGGGGCGGGCGAGCTTCTCGGGGTGGTCAGAGGCCATGAGGGAGATGTCGCGGAAGATGTCGAGGTAGGTGTCGTCGCCTGGGGGGGCGGTGAAGGTCGGTGGGTGGGGGCACCCCAAAATGGGGATCCCCCCTCAAGCTCCCCATCGGAGTCCCCCAAATCCAAGGATCCCCCCCCAAAACCTCCATGGGGACACCCCAAACTTGGGCTGCCCCAAATATAGGTACCCTCTTGGGGAACCCCAAACCCAGGGAGCCCCGCCAAGGACCCCCTCGAGGTCAGCTCAAAC